GAAAAGGAGACAAACTCCTCCAATGGTTTCTCCTTACAACTGATCCACTCTGTCTTGTCAATGCTAACTCTCTTCTCTCCCTTCTACTCCTACTCCTATTTATGCTAAATCCCTGTCCTTCCAACCTCTCTTACTAACTACCTACTTGCTCTAACTAAATATTGAGACTTTATTGTAACTAACTTGTAACTAATTATTGATATTTGGGAATTTCTAACAAGGTGTTCCTATGTTCACTGCCCGGTTTGCTTTTCTGCTTTATCCTTTAGAAACTGTGGCAGCTTTTACTTTGGAATATTGTGGTGTTTGAAGTTTGATGCTGGTTTTTTTGAGACAGAAAAAGCTTCAAATTTGTATTTGGTGAATTGTTTTGGAGTGCTTCTTCCGGTGCTTGCACAAATGCTTATGGGAAGCACCCTGGGTATGTTTTTCAAAACTGACTGTTGAAAAAAAAAAAAAAAATAAATAAATAAATAAAAAGAAATTCAAACTTCTGTCGGATTCAAAGATTATCCTTTTGTAATTTAAAATTATGTATTCAACTTTAAAAATCTCTTTCTAAATATGTTTTTGTAACTTTAGATAATCACAACATCTGAGAAGTAGACAAATAGAAGTCTTACTTAGAAGAGTTGATTAGATGGAGGATAACCCAATAATTAAGGTAGAGGAAGAACAAGAAAAAATCTTGGCTAAACCATCCAAAGAGATATAGGTCTAAATGGTCTCTCTGTAGAATTGGTTTTTGCCAAAACACAACAGCATTGCTTGGTTCATGTAGTTGACCCCAACTAGTGGGAATAAGGTTTTGTAGTTGGTATAACAATTTCAAAATAATTTCTTCCAAATGCCTTGTACCCATGTGCAATTGACAACATCTATGACCTTATTTTTGGTTACAAGCTTATATTTAGAGGCTAAATTATTGCCTACAGAGGTGAAAACCTTCAGATATTATTCATTCAGTTTTTGGGCCTTTCGAGGCTAATTCATAGCCTACAAAGGCCTTAGATCTTATTTATTCAGTTTTCAGGCCTTACATTATTGACCTACATATGATCATAGTATTCACTCCAATCAGCATTGCGCTTGTGTTCTCCATATGTGTAGTATTAATTGCTAGGATTTGGTTGATCAAAGGTGGTTTACTATAGTTAACGTTCAATTACTCAGCCATCAGACCTTTGGCCCAGTGCACTTCGAAATAAGTAGGTGTTGTTTTAGTTTGAACCCAAATACCAAAAAAAAAGGGTTCTTACTCATGCAAAGTAGGCATATATGGATGACAGGAATGAGGAAACCTTGAGATTATATCTCTATTTCATACACTATTCATATTTATATTTATATAAAACAAGTATATCCCAAAGTAGGCTAAACTACAGTTAGTGACTTGGTGTGTTTTTCAATGTCCCATTCTTTACCCTGCTAGGTTCACAACCATTCATTTTATTATTTCTGTTGCTAAACCTGTACTTTGTGGATGAGCTGAATATAATGGAAGTTTTTAACTTTCTTCCTTGTCATATTTCTCTGTTGTTCTTCTTGTTTTGTCACCTACTTGTAATTGATTCTTTGAGATGGCAATTGTCATTCAACTGCAGCGAAGCAGATGGATCAGTTGGTGAATTTGATAATAGGAATGACAGAACTTGTTCCTGTGCTGTTATGTAAATTGGAGGCGTTTCATAAAATGACACTGGGTCAAGCCGTTGGTTGCTAACACTCCATCACTCAGCTTGAGGAAAAGGAGCAAATTTTTTCAGTCTAGTGGAGATATACACCATCTCTCACCTTAGGGATCATTTGTCTATTATTGCTTGCTGCGGTCTTCAGTTTTGTTCCTCTGCTTTTCATCAATTTATTGTATAATCTTTGTCTGAGAAACAGTCTTTTTGCAAAAATCCAAGGGTAATCGACTTATCGACCTTGAGTTCTACCCTCACAAAATTGGGCAGTCTTGTATATTGCGATTTGCCCTTTTTTGTATAATTTTTTGTGTGTGAATCCTTTGCCGTTTGATTCATGAATTTTATGATCTTATTTATATATGGATTAACAAAATTCTAGTTCTGTGCTCTCGCATTATCTATAAGAATGATAATAGAGGTGTAAGATTTTGGAAAGAATCGGTGCTGTCTTGATGGGGGAGGTAAACTTCTGATGTCAAGCCAGCCTGGTATAACATAAACTTTCGGACTTCCTCTATTGCTCTGCCTTATTTTGGGCAATCCAAGCTTCTGTATTCAACCCAGGATTCAATATATTAAATAGAAATGTTGAGTCCTGCCTGTTGTAATTATATAAGAAAGTTCATGTGCCTGCAATTGCATAAGAGGCTGTGGTGAGAGTGCTTGGTCTAAGAGGAAAAATTAGCACTCTTGCCTCCATTTTGTCTAGAGGGGAAACAGTTTTCTTGCAATTTGGATTTTGAAATGCAAGTTGGGTCCTGTTTTTCTTGACCAGTTTATTAAAGGCAAAGTGGCAAACATATTAGGTTGTGCTATATATGAGAGTACAATTCTTATAGGCGATTGATTTTCCTGTTTTTAGTGAAATGTTCCTTACAAAATGTAGCTGCTATGTTTGGAGTCATAGTTGGTCCAGTAATGTAAAAAGCTAGCCATGGGTCTATATATATTGCTAGGGTTTATCTTCTTTTTTTAATTAATTAATGAGATATAAATTTCAAAGTTCTAATTATGATATACGTGTATCCTTTTCATCTTCAAACAAAAAAATAAGGGAAAAGATATTGTAACAATCAAGTTGTGTTACTAGCATGTTATTACCAATCAATCTCACCGTTAGATCGATTACGTTGATCCAACGGTTATATTTATTTTCATCTTTGTATGGTCATGATTTTTCAAATTTAATACTTTATATTTATTTTCACCTTTGTATGGTTATGATTTTTTACATTTAATGCTTTCACTTTAAATATGGGGAATCATAACCATACAAAGATAGAAATAAATATAACCGTTAGATCAACATAATCGATCTAACGATGAGATTGATTGATAGTAACATGGTAGTAACACAACTTGGTTGTTACAATATCTTTCCTCAAAAAATAAAACAATAATAAGTTTACTTTGTCTTTTCCAAGAGCTATATGTATCAACCAATTTTAATTTTTTTTAATGCATTATTAGATATATTTATAAAAAAATTTGGTCTAGTTACGTGGTACGCATTATTTTCAATTTCAAATAAAAAATTTCAATTCCAAACAAAATTAATTGACAATGCATGAAAATTGTGTTTTTGAGTTTGTATGGGATCTCATTCATTTCCATAAAGAATTTTAGGGCAACCTTTTATTTCATATTGTTTTTTTGTACGAATATAAGGATTTTCCATTTAGTATCATTATATATACAAAAAAGTCCGAATTTTAAAAGTCAGATATTTAGTAATTTGTTCTTAATATTGATATGCTAAACATATAATTTGACCGTTAGATTACATATGATGAGTTCATTTGTCCATCTATGTACGTGGGTAATAAATTTGGTCTTTACAATATTTTAAATTCCAACTCGTGTGTCATTAGTCCTTAGCATGATGTGTAACATAAGAGCCAAATTCATGTGTACATATGAACACATGGGATAAACTTTTAAATCATTTTTTTAAATATAATTACATATATATTAGTAAAAAAAACTCATTGATCAGATTAAATTCAGGGATCAAATCATCAAATTATATATTTTTCTACAGAAAATTAACTATAATCGCATAATTATGTATTGTTTTTGGTCAAAAGTATTGTACTAACGAAACTCATGAACTTGACATCATACATGCTTAATTTTTGAGATTTTTTGTTTTTTGGGTATAAGATCTTAGTTTAGTTGGATTAACTAATCAAATTCGATCAAATGTGTGCGTGTAAATTTCTAAAGAAAGATTTAAGTTTGTAGCCTATTGTAAGTTAAATCTTCTAGTGTCGGATTAGATATTAATAATTTTTCATACTCTTTTTTGAGATTTTTTTACTGATTTATTAATTAATTGATTAATTCGGTTGAGGCAGACAGAAATATAAGGGAAGTAATCCTTGCGGAAGTTGGTGCTTAGCCGTCCAATCCTGAAGTTCTCATAAACGGATTTAGGGCTAGCTTCTTCCTGAGCTCTAGTTCAGTTCCTCGGATTGAGATAGAGAGCCTACCGACCCCTTCCCTTACTCAATAGGACTAGCTATAGAAAAAGTTAATATAGAGAAAGTCAGGTGTGAATGATTGGCTTGTCTAAGGCTGATCGTAGCTAGTGCTTTGCTTAGTTAGTCGTATCAAATTTTTAACATAATTATATAGCTAGGACTTGAACTTAAAATTACTAATTAAGTTGAAATAAATTCATTTCAAGTGATCCACGTACTTTATGGCTAATACTAAAAAAATATCCACCAAGCATGTGGCAATTTTAAGCAACCATTGCACAATAATCAATTTTTTTATATAATAATAAAAAATATTTAATTTTAGTGAATAAATTCTAGTTTAATCATTATTGTGAACATAATAGTTTTAACTCTAAAATCTTCAAATATAACTCTTTCGAAAAGAAAACAATAAAACAAACGAGGGCACATATTCGAAAAATTGTGATTAGTTAAAAATGGGAGGGCATGATACTCTCTAATTCAATTTTAAGCGAAGGAAAATGATAAAATTTTTTGCCACGAGTGAAATTAATTTTATCCAAATGATCCAAATGGGTAGGATATCCATATGAAAAGTAACAATTTTGGAGCATTATCACTTGTATTCTCCTAAATCAAAACAAGCCAAAATCCAATGGTTGACGATGGCAGGTGAAGTAATAAACGACATTCTTGGTCAGCTTTCAGTGGTTAAGGTACTCACAGTTCCACTGAACTGGATCCAGCTTTTGGTGGAAACTTGGTCATACCTTATCCACACACTCCAATTCTCTGATTTAGATAAGACACCACAAAGAAGTACAAAACCATACCCAATAGAAGAAAAAAAGGCTAGAGCAGAATAATAATAAAATAAAATAAAATAAAATTGAGTGTAGTTAGTTAGCATCAAGCAAGAAAAAGAAAAAGGAAATAAAAATGTCTGTGACATCTTCAATCCCATGCATCAAAATCCAAACATGTTCCTCTTCAACATCTTGTACTTCTTCATCAACTTCATCCTATTATTCTTTTAGGTTCTGTTCTTCCAAGTCTCATAGTGTGATCACTATAAGGAATTCTCAGGCTGAAGGGCCTTTGAGAAGACCAGTGGCACCCCAACTTAGAGAACCATCTTCTAGTGTCCCTCAGCCATTGAAGCCAACACCACCTTCTCAGCCTCCACCATCCCCTAGTGTGGTGCCTCCTCCTCCACAGAAGCCACCTGCTATTGTTGGGGATGATAAGAATGCTATTGTTACATTAGAATTTCAAAGGCAAAAGGCTAAGGAGTTGCAGGAATACTTTAAACAGAAGAAGCTTGAAGAAGCAGATCAGGGTCCTTTCTTTGGTTTCATTGGGAAAAATGAGATTGGCAATGGAAGGTAAAGCTAAAAAACTTGAGTTATTTTTTATGTGGGTTTGTGTTAATTGCATTTTCTTTTGTGATTGTACAACTTGTTAATTGTGACCAGCTATTTGGTTGAATGATTCAGAATATTGGGTGAAACTTATAGCTGTCTCATTTGTGACAAATAGGCCATGAAATTTCAAGGAAGTTGCTTCCAATTCATTACATTTGTGTTCTTTACCCCTAAACTTCAAGGAGTTTTTGCTAACCAATTTTTTACAACTATCTTGGCCTGGCTAAATTGTGTGAGTCCAGGCAAAATTGGGCAACCAATTTTTTACAACTATCTTGGCCTAGTTAAATTGTGTGAGTCTATGCAAAATTGGGCATTTCTAGTGAAGCTTTGAGGAACAAATAATCAAGGTTTAGGAAGCACAATATATTGTTATGCAAAAGCTTCACTCTTGTTTGATAATTAGATAGTAGTTGTCAAAGACTGGTTGGTAACAACACCATTTACATATTCAGATGCTGAACTTTTTGTATTGCGACTTACCATCCTTAGTCCTATGACAAGAATATCACCAATATAAGTCAAATTAGAGCGATGAAGACTACCCATCAGTGAATTGAGGGAAGATAAATTAGGAGAAATGAAATATTTTTCAAATCTCTTAAGATGAGGGAATTCATTTGTGTCTTGAGCATTCTCATGCTTCTTTTTTTGAAAGAAACTTTATAAATTATATGCATATTTCCGTAAAGGATTCTAACATTGTCTCAACCTCCCCTAGTTGAGTTGCCAAATGTTTTGAAATGGGTTCTTAGTGTATGTGCGCCTTGGACAATAAGGATATAACCATCTATGGGAGGTGAAAAGATCAAGCGAGGCACTCATAGATAATATTTTGATATGATAGCATTAGCAGCCGAATTTTAGGGTTTTAGAGAATGTTGGCTTGAGTTGGAGGATAATGGCTTATTGTATGTTGAGTGGTCAGTGGTGATCAAGAATAAAGAGTTTCTTTGTAAGCAGCTTTACACTTGTAAGAGATGTTGTTTTGTGGATTTGAACTTTGACCTTTCAATAACAAAGGAGCAAGTAGGAACAACTTTACCAATGCTCCAAGCTTGCCCTTATTAGTGGTGATAAAAAATATTAAAGGAAACCTACTTAGAGTGAACAAAGGGAATTATTGACACATAGTAGCTTACTATGGCTTAGCTTTTGTGCGTTATGGAATGGGTTTGAAGGGGTTTGGAGAAGGAATCACAGGATTCCTATGTCATGCATTCCAAGACACAAGATGAACCATAATCAAGAGGGTCCAGCTGTTGATAGGACATGTCTTCTGGGTAGGGTTCAACCTAGGATATAGTGTGTGCCAGTGGTCAAAGATGATAATGACAAGTCAAGGAAGGTGGGGGAAGGGAGGGAGATGCGACATGGTTTCGTCAGGTTACTTAAAACTTGATTCTCTATGAAAACTCATCATCAGTATTTTGAAGTCTTAAGCTTTCCTCACCTAAGAGCCTACCAATCCACTGAAAGCATAGTTTTGTAAGGTGAAAGAAGCTCGGCTTCCTTTGCTGTTACAAGTTTGTGTCTTAGCTTCTCTGGGGGAGTGTCTCTTCCTTGTTTGAGCATCTTTCTTTGTTAACACTTCCTTATATGCACACAAAATCAATGAGAAACAGAGAGGTAGTCCAACTCAAGGCTTTTGTGATTCACGTAGATCCAACTAATAAGAGAAATAAGTGTATGCGTGTGGAATTTATGGCACTCTTTCTATTCTTTTTCCCTGTGTTTAACATTTTTGTTATTACCTTTTTGTCCAAAATTGCTATGGAATGTGTTGTTGTGTTCCATTATATTGTGAAAGATTTCTATCACTATTTATTGCAAATATAAAGTTTTATCCATTAAAACTGGTATAAAGTTTTAATCCGATTTGAGCACTACTGGACCCATATTGGGGATGGCTCTTCCAACATTATTTTTTTCCTTCCCCGGACTCAAACTCGAGACCTCTAGCTAAGGGGATCAATCTCCTTGTCACTTTAACCAATGGTTGTTGGTCATTATAGTTTCTTTGTATCTAGGTGAAAATGAACATGTGCAACCTTGTCCTTGAGTTGAAACTTAAGTAGCTCAGATTCAAAGAAGCATCATTTCAGTTAATTGTGTTTGATAATTGTCGTTCTATTTCTTGCATACCTGCTACACTTGAACTGAATCTGCATTTTTATATAAATTCTGCTGAATTTGACTTATTGATTGGTAATTTTGTTTCTACAGATGGGCAATGTTTGGTTTTGCTGTAGGGTTGCTAACAGAGTATGCAACAGGCTCGGACTTTGTTGATCAAGTGAAGATTCTTCTCTCGAATTTTGGGATAATAGATTTGGAATGAGTACCTCAATATAAAATAAGGTCAACGGTTTCTTGTTCCAATCCTTGGTGTAAACAATGTTGAGTAACTTGTTTCATCTTTATTTATAGCAAACAAGCTTTCTTTTCACATTGATGAAATTACAAGAATGTGATTTCCATTTCCATTTCCGTTATAGTGAACTCGCTAGAGAGATTGAAATCCTTTTAAGTGCATTACAAAGTTTACAGTTAAAACATCAGATACCATAACGCACTTAAAGGTTATTTATAACTCAAAAAATAGTAAAAATTATAAATAAATCATAACTTTAATTAAATATTGGAGAATGGGTAGGGAAGTTTGTGGGTTGGGTGATATCTGTTATGAGTTTGGGTTGATTCTTAGCTAATGGGTTTGGATGTTTAGCCAAATGCTAATATGTCTATGTGTGTGCAGTGTTTTTAATTTAATAACATCATATTTTAAGTCTTGAAACAATGATAAGGTTTGGGATGGAAATGTTACATGTTCAGTCTAAACAACAAACTCTGCAATAGGTCTATAAAAGTAAAGCAAGTACAACGATCCCCTCCTAAATAGGTTCAAATATCCCAGATTTTTTCTGGGATAATAGCTAGACCAAAGAGCTTATATCATCCAAAAGAAAAGAACCGAAGAGAAGAAAAGTATATTAGTCCTAACCTCACATCTTAGATACAAACTAAACTCTTGCTTGTTTGATGAAACACACTGGTTTGCTCTTGCTCTTATACAAGAGCAGCTGAAAAATCCTTAATGACATTTTTATAGCAGAAAGTATCTTACACCCTTTGATTTTTTATTTTTTTTTTCCATGTAAATTCTCGCTGAGAAACTATATAAAACCACTTCCCCCATAAATCCCTATTTATGAGGACGTGTGGTCAACTCTTGTTCGCAATTTTACCCTTTCATATATACCAAGAGTTTGTTTTCAGGATTTAAACATGTGACATTTCAGTTACAAAGAAATAACTTTACAACTATTCCAGATTCGAATCCGTGACCTTCAATGACAAACTGTATCTAATAAAAAAAAAAAGTTCCTTTTCTTTTCCTTTAATTCCATACCTTCAAAGCTGAGATAACAAACTACAAGGGGTTAGTTCTACTAGCCCACAAGGTTGATCATAGTTCACATACCATTGCCAATATCACCAAACTTGTTCTTAATCCACTTGAAGCCGTTTCTTACACTTGTTTTAAGCTTTCCCTCCACTGTCAACACGTTATATGCCTTGATTCTCTTCTTCCTCTTAAGCTCTGGATCATTTGTTGCACAAAACCCACTTCCCTTTTGGCTTGGCCCGTTGAAATTGTACGAGGTTGATCTTTCTCCAAACCCAAATTCACTGTAAGAACAGGAGTGTATAGGGAATGACTTGCTTTTCTCCATGACCAAATCACCCGGTTTCATAAAGAAACTCTCTCTGGTCTTTCACTGCATGAAACAGGAAATATTGGTATTACATGAGGAAAAATGGGACAAGCTGGTCATGGGTTTTAGAGGAAGGGCTACATCATGATCCAGTGTGGTGGCATCCATGTTGAGAGTTGTGGGAATCATGAGGATCATTGCTATTAATGGGGAGGTGGGACCTACTTGTAGGGGAGGATGAGAAACTTTGTTGGATCCACACTTGTTATTAGGCCGAAAGCTGTAGTTGTGGTGATGGTGCTACTCTTTTTTCTTATTCTTACTAGCTCAATTGGCATGGTTTGATCGGATTTGGATTACACCTAGCCTTGCTAAGACAGGATGTTAGTCTCACCAACAATTCCTTAATACTTGTTGGGAATTGAACCCATGACCTCAATTCTAATATCAAGAGTTGGATTGAATCTTTATCACTGGATCAAAAGTTATAGCAGTTAATTAGGGTGCAATTATTTTAAGGGTTCGCTTTTTTCTGCCGTTACTGCAGATAAGTTATCTGTAGTAAGCCCAATACGACGTCATTTTGGGGCAGAAATCATGGTGTTTTTGTAATTTTAATTTATTCTAGGGTTATTATAGTCTTTATAATTATAATTTTTTAATCTTTCAATTCTAAAATGACATCGTTTTGGAAGTAACTGCAGATAACTTATCTGCATTAACTGCAGAAATATTTTTCTATTATTTTAATTACCCTTATCAATTCAAACATCATGGTTCGATCGGATTCTAACCCACACCTGCCCTTGCAAGGTAAGATATTGACCTCATCAATAGACACCATATGAATTCACATGATAGTGTAGTGGACCCACCTTTTTAGTGGGAAAGAGAGGTGGATGCTCTGTTTAGTTTTTTATAGGAGGTAAGGCACTAATCTTTGCTTTGAACTAATGGCAATTTGTCATTTATAAAGTTATAATACATGCACATTTTTGTTGCTTGGTCATGGGGAACTTTTAGTGTCCCTACAATTTCTTTATGAAAAGCAAAACGGAGTCATTTGAAACCTTATGTCAAAGTTCGTGGCTAAATGCTCCGTGGGCCTAGGATTTGTATGCACATCAAATGTTGAAAAGATTACCTTGATCCCTCTGCTTTAAAATGTTATGGCAGAAATTATCATATATAATTATGATCTGCTATATATGAATTGACCAAATTGATAGCATTATTAGTTGTAAAAAAGGGACTAATACCAATTGTGATGTGCATTTCGTATCAAATGTTTGATGAATGGATATCATAAATCCCTTTCTTTGGAAAATTCCATGTATATTTATTCTCATAAAAAAATTTGTAACATAATTGAGAAAGTCCTTATATTCTATAGAATTTAACATAATTAGTCTTTGTATGACTTGGGAGTTGCATTTTAGATTTGTAGAGGTGCCACAAAAATGTCCTTATCATTACTATTATTATTATTAGTCTTTGTATGACTTGCATTTTAGATTTGTAGAGTGCCACAAAAATGTACAAGTGAGACTTAGGCTTTGTTTGAGAGTTGGTTTTAGGAGGAGAAGTAAAGGAAATATAGGGTTTTAGAAAATCCTTCCCTTATTTGTGAGTTTAAAAAAATGAAGGGAAGGAATTTGAGATTTTTACTAAACCCTTCAAAATCCTCTTTCTTCATAAAATTAAAGTTTTCCCAATTTGGGGGATTTGAAGGGAAAAATATTAAAAATTACTTATCTATCCTTAGCATTAAAATGTGAAAACTGCATAAATAAAAATTATTTTTAAATGTGACAATATTAGAAAAGTTTCAAATACCGACAGAATTTATCGACGAAAAATATTTCGTCAAAAATAGTGATGAATTTGTTTGATGAAAATCATATATGTAAAAAAAATTTCGTCAAAACTAAAGACAAAATTAGAGACTGAACAGATTTTGCCAGAATCAGTGACATAAATTTTTACGAAAAAAAATTCAGTCAAAATTGTTGATAGAATCTAAATTCCATCAACATTTTCAACGAAAATATTTCCATTCAAAATTTTGACGAAACACATTTTGATCGAAAAGTTTTGACATAAAACAATTACATCAAAAAATTTTACGAGAAATATTTTCATAAAATTTTTTTGCAAAAATATTCGACGAAAAATATTTCCTTCAAAATTGTGACTAAAAATATTTTTGTAAACAAATTTGAAGGATTTTTTTGTCAAAATTCTTTACGGAATTTAAATTTTGGCAAAATATTTCCTTCAAAATATTTCACAAAAAACATATTAATCGAAATTTTTGACGAAAAATATTTCCATCAAAATTTTAAACGAAACACATTTCCACCGAAAATTTTTTATGGAAAAAAATTTCATCAAAATTCTTTACAGAATTTAAATTTTGTCGAAAGTTTTCTACAGAAACATTTTCGTTAAACTTTTTGACAAAAAAAGTTTTTGTCAAAATTTTTAACGAAACACATTTCTATCGAAAATTTTCGGCGGAAAATATTTTCGTCAAGTTTTTGGATAAAACACATTTTCATCAAAAATTTCAACAAAACACATTTCTATCTAAAAATTTTGACTGAAAATATTTTCGTAAAAAATTTTGAAAAAAAATATTTTGATAAAAAATTTTGACGGAAAAAATATTTTGTCAAAATTCTTTACAAAATCTAAATTTCGTCGAAAGTTTCAAATGAAACATTTCCCTCAAAATTTTTGACAAAACGATTTTCGTCGAAATTTTTGTCAGAACACATTTTCATCGAAATTTTCAACGGAAAACATTTCGTCAAATTTTTTGACAAAATTTTTTTTTCGTTTAAAATATTTGATGGAGGAAATCATTTTTGTCAAAACTTTTGACGAAAACTAAATTTCGTCGAAAATTTTGATAAAAAATTTATTTTTGTGAAATTTTTTATCAGACAAAAAATTTCGTCGCTTTTCGACGAAAATTATTCTGACGAAAAAATATTTTTGTGACGAAATATTTGTTGTTTGCAATGTAAAAATTTCGTTGAAAATATGATCTTTGTTAGTATTGTGAAAAGTACAGAAATAATTTTGTTAGAAATTTTAAATTTAATTTATTTTGTAAAATTTAATAATTATATTTATTTTAAAAATAGGATAAAATGATAAAAATATCTCATCAACCCTTTATTTTTCACCCTAACCATTTTTTTAACTCTCAAATATGGGAAGAAAATACCTTTCAATTTTTTTCCTTTCATTCTCCTTCCTTCTCCTTAGATCCCCTTCCTTCCTTCCTTTCCCCTTCCCCTTCAAACTCCCAAAAAGGTTTGTGAGACATGTGGACCCACATGTACGGCGTCATGAGTATTAGTTCTACAAGCCTACCAAGTACTACACTTTTTTTTTTGATAGCCAGTACTACACTTTTATTTATCCTATTCCGATACACTTGAAATATTTAGCTTTTAAGGAATGAATCCTCTCATATAATATGAGATTTTATGAAAGAATCACATGTTTTGGATATAAATTAAGAGCATGAAATTTATCTTATATATTATACTCATAAACAAATATGCCTTTTTTTTCAAATTGATGGGTCTCACTTTATTTATCTCATAACATAAGAGAATTTCTTTCATATACATGATAAAAGTAAAGCCCATAAATTAATAACTATTCTTTTTTATCATTTAACTTAATGCGTTTTCTTATCAACTTTGATTAATATATGAATGGTTGAGATCTTTTCATATGACATCATATGCATTGCATGAGAGT